AATTCTCTTCTCAACAAAAATTTTTAAAAAATACGCTACATACTATAAGCGTGCTTCCCTAACTGATAAAACTCGCATATTTGAAACTTGACATTTACATGTACATAAATTTTATACGCACAGCATCTAGTTTAAACTACATCGAAAACAAGTTAAATGTTGACGCTGCACATCAAAGACGCCGCCAAATGATGTGAACAATCAATCAGCATTGAAAATCGTTCTCAAATACAGTTGAATATCCGAAGCACAAAATCATTTTTTTCTGAATGTTCTTGCTATGTGCTCGTTGTTTAATAATAAAGTTGCATATTTTTGTTAAAATGTAGAACCTAATGCATAAATTTACAAAGTAATGTCATGTCTGGAATTCTAAAATGTTTGTCTGCTGCGACAAAGATTGAAACGTCTGGTATATGTGCCGAGAATATGTCCATTTATATATTGGTACGAATTGCATAATGTTCGAATGATTTTGAGGACGAACTGTTCTGCAGTGATCTCCCCTTACTGGCCGTAGCGTAGAGACTAGTAGTTTTTTGCCTCTAAGGGTAACAACTTCACATACCAAATCACAGTAGTTTACTGTTTTATAATACAGCATATATCAGCATTACATCATGCAAACATTTAAAAGGCGGCATAAATAAGCATCAAAGAACAGGTACATAAAACAGACAGACACGTAAAACAAACATAATTTAAGATTATTTTGTAAGTGAAACAGTCAGAAATTCAAATGCGGTTTCACTTTTCAAAAATACTGCTTTTTTTCAAAGCATATTAAAGAGCGACATATTCATTTTTGACATATGCGTCACTAAAATCTTTTCGTATTTGAAACATAAATATAAATATACTAAGGCATTAAAAATGGTACTCATAAATATATATCTTTAAAACATGTACTTTCTAAAATCTTCAAATTCATTACAAGAAGTACACTTTCCATCTGCTTACAGAAAAGTCTTTGTCGATCTGATCTGCAGGACTCCATTTTAAGATTTTTTAAGACATAAAGCTATTCGACATTTCTGAACGTTCAAACATTTAAGAAAAAAAGAATTTTCTAGACGCTCTAGTCATAATTGAACATTGTTATCATGAAAACATTATTTGAAAATATATATACAAACATCAACATTACCTACTCCTTGCGCATGCCATACTTCATGAAAACCCAGTTTTACATCCGTTTCACAGACAGACTTTTTAACGAGTTGAAAATAGATAAAGTTCATTCTGTTTAACTTCACATTTATCATTAAACCATGACAATTATCATGTCATAATGTTGTTTTATTGCTTCAGAGGGATCTACCTTTCAGATTTCTATAACTTTTTTGTAGGAACGACATGGTATTTCTTAATTATTTTTTTTCAAAAACAATTTATCAGTTACATAATTTATTCATAATTTTGCTATGTAAACTGAACTCAGTGTCATTCTAGGTTACCGTTCTACCAGAATTTAAATCACACAATTAAGCTTATCTACAATAAACATATTCGAGCGCCTTATACATACAAAATTAAAAAAATATGTATACAGTACATTTATATGAAATAATAAAATATCAAAGAGATTGTCGTATCACACTGAGATCAAAAGATCTAAAAAATCAAATATTGATTAATACAGAACATATCACAGCGTTATATCCATACAAAATTAGGAGAATATATTTATATGAATCAATAAAAATGATATGAAAGAGATTATATCAGTCTGAGATCACATATCAAATACTATCACAGCGTTATATCCAAACAACCTTTTAAAGAATTATATATAGTAAAAAAACACTCTATGAAGTGCACCGAAGTGTTCTTAATTGCGATGTAGTCTGAATTGTGATATTCTTATCACTGCCTATATATTTTATGACCATGGTCCATCCATATAGTTTGAATAAACAATGTGCATAATCATCTTGATTATCATATGAATAAATTGTTATATTCAATCTACTGAGAGCAGAACATTGTCTTGAAGAAGTCTATTGTAAAAGGGTCTGGTATTATATTTATGTGCTTTACGTAATTCAAATATGAAATAAAAAATTAAAACTTATAAAATGTGTGTGCAGAAAACAAAATTAACCACTCTAAAATGAATTTTTCACCTTATTATAAAGATATCAATATTATAATACTTATTGATATTAAAGATTCTTTGACAACTGTATTCAAATATGACAACATAACCACGAGAAAAGAAAAGCAAAACATACTCCTCAAACTATAATCAAGACGAATTATAAGTCCTATTTACTAGCCGCTCTTTTTAAGTATATCGATAAAATACAAATTGACTCAAATTGATAATATATGTGTAAATACATAATGATTTTTATCATTTTTAAAATGTATATGATTTCTGGTGACTTATGAGCCTATGGGACTGGGTGCTGACTTGATTCATACGAATATGGGTTGAAATGAGTAAAAAGGGTATAAAACAAATAATGAGGACTTACACTGGTAGTCTTAACAATGGATAAGCGATTCACCATGTTACCATTTACCATGAAAAGAAAATTCCGTTCTTTTTGAAATTGGTCTTAATAGCAGGATAGTTTTGTATCCGGGGTGATTTTTAGAAGGATTATTAAGAATCAGCCAAAAATTATTATTCTTATATGAATATCAAAAGGATTATATCACGCATAGATCAAAAGATCTAAATTATCACATGCTGTTTATTTACAATAAACATATTACAGCGTCATATCCATTCAAAATGTTCAACAAATATATACGTTTTTATTATACCATGCGTATACATTTTTTTCTATAAAACCTTATCTGACGTCACATTGTACCATATCGATTTATCATCCTCGAAATGAATATCACCTAGTCAATACTTTTTCGGCCGAGTAATGTATACAGACATAAGAAAACGGAATGTTCTTGTTCTCTCCCTTTCATTACAAGCAACAATGATTAGCTCTTGGAGTGTTAATGCTCTAGGTACAAAAATACATTAAAACGAATATGTTTGTTTGGTATAATAAAAAGAATAACACATGAATCTCAGGTTAATAGTGCATATTGGCAACCCTTGAACTGAAAAAAAAAACAACCTCGGCTCCGCCTCGGGTATTATTTCCGTTTACTGGTTCCTTATATCTACTAAAACCCTGAGAGAAATGTGAAATTTGTATGATATAGATAAATCAAAAATTGTTATAATTGTAATATGAATATCAAAGCGATTAAAAAGTTTTTATCACACACAGATCAAAAGATCTTAATAAGCACATATTTATTATTACAAAAAAATAACAAACAAAAAATATCACAGCGTCTTATACATACAAAATTACTAAAAAAAAAAACAAGAGTTCTACATGATATATGAAAATCAATGTGATTTTATCACCCAGGATCGCATAAATCCTACTTGCCTTTGAATTCAATATTGCATTCAATATTGTACGAATAAGCTCCCCTAAACTGTTATTCTTTTTAATCAAGAAAATTTCACAAAAGACGTAGAAAAATCTAAATATTGTTTGCAAGTATTTCTTTCGTTTGTATATATGTATAAATGTTGTTTTTTTTATAAAAAAATAACATATTGCTGTCGAGTGGACATTTTCAACCCGTGAAATGTGCTTCTAATTTTGATAATATCAACTAATATCCCGATAATCATATGTTATTTATAATTGTCAAATGTAAACCCTAAAACTGCACAGCTTGGTAATAAACAGTCTCTCTGGTCTCGTCAGCTATGTGTTATATTAAGTACGAGTGCGTTCTCCTTGCTCATTGAAGATGAGGACGCAAGTTAGCGTGTCTCGTCTCGATATGGTATTCGGCAGAACCGTGTCCGGTAACGGGTCAGTAACTAACTCTGTAACTATTTCTATCACACAATAGTTGTTCTAATATGAGCTTATATTATTATCAACTTTTCACAGCATTATATCATACACAATTTGAAAAAAGTCCCAACGTTTCGATGTATCACAAAAAAGTTATTCCACTCTAAAAATAAGAGATATCAAAGCGCACATAAATCACAAGGTTCGAATTCACATGCAGTATCGCATATCAAATGATATATAAGAAAATCTATCATATAAAAGTTATACAAATCAATAAATATGAAAACTAAATATGCACTAGTGGATAAAACCAAAGTTTGCTTGCAATTAAAAGGACTTTGAAGACAGTTTTGAAATTTGCCGAATAAGAAATGCTTTCATTTATTTCCTGATTGATCACCTTCAATGTTCCTTGGACACATAACTATTGTCGTAGAATCGGTTTTGTTCCCAGTGATGCCCGTTACAAAGTCTTGTCTTCCGACCCTTCATTCAGAGATTTAATTTTCTAAATGTGTCATCCTCTTTGTGCGTACGATACAATAGTTTGTAATCAAAACATTTTCTTGAATTTTACCATTTAAAATTTATTTCATTAATATTTGTACATCAAAAATGCATTTTTGTTCAAAGCGTTTCTTGCAAAAGGGAATGGTGTTACTAGTATATCTTGAAAATTGTATGATTGTTAACAATATTCTCGCACATGTGTCGTAATGTCCCTTAAATCCTCCACAAATATCAATTCTGACTTTACCCCAGTAAGTGAGGGTCACACTTAAAATCGTTTCTATTTACCGGTATTTAAAGTACGTTGATGCGAATTATTTTCTTTCAAAGAAACAAAATACCAAACAGATTTTAATGACAAATGTCCGACACATGGTAAGTTTGTATGTTCAAGATAATAATAATTTGTAATAAGACGAGAACAAATCATTAAAATATTGTTATTAAAGTAGAGTCACAAAAGAGTTAATCTAGAATAAAGAATATCTGATTTCCTATGCAAACCCGTGGGTTCAAACAACCTTTAACATTATAAATATGTGGTGTGGCACAAAGTTTTGGATAACTTCTTTTCTTAAATAAAGATAAAAAGGTTAAAGGGTCATATTTGGTGTGTTTTTCAGATTGTATGTTTTTTAAATTCAATTTTAAATTCTATTTTTGGCTCTTTTAAACTACCCATTTCTCAGACTGAAAGCTTTGTAGTGGTCTATCTAAGAATTATTCCTGTGAAATGCTGTCAAAATCGAAACAGTGCTAAAAGAGAAGTTTGAAGAATTTTTGGACATCTACCAACGACGAACGGCCTTCGGCGGACGATATCAGAAAATCCCACATCTAAGTCAGCACTCTTTGCTCAAGAGAGCTAACAAGTAGTCAAATGTAAACAACAGTAAAATGAAAACCGCAAACACAATTTGATTACTATTTTAGCCAATGGAAAGAGCAATATCTCGATAAACCCTTTTCCTAAAGCTCGCTATATGTTTTGTTTTAATTTATTTTTAATTTATGATCACTATGTAAGGTATTTACATGACCCAGATGCTTGCAAAGAGTCTCCTTCCGCGTAAATTTGAGCAGGAGAGTTTTCCATGTGAGTTATAAGTTTAAACTCCCCGTTTGTAAGTTTGCTCAACTCTTCCAAACCATGTGACAATGGTAAAAAACAGAAGGATTCTTCTTCACCAAATTTGCCGATGAGCATTGAACAAACACGAATATTTTGATCATCGTCATCATAACAAAGTATTGCACCACTATCTCCTTCTATAGCTAATCTGGCATGTGGATTTCCAAGTTTGAAGCTTCCAGGACGTACTTTTATATGGTGTTTCCCATTTGACTTTAATAAGACTGGTATTTCTATCGTGCCTACGCCTAACTGAGTCTTTGCTCCTCTTAGATAAACAGACTTTCCCTGAAAATTATCGATTTGGACTGAATAACAAAAGCATGTGCGTACTTAACAACTTGAATTGAAACTAAAGCTAATACAGAACTATTTTGTTGATATACTAAAAGCCGATTTCAATTGAGGCAATCTAAAAAACATAGACAGAAACTTTTTTTGTCGGTCTGCTCAAAAGAGGAGACAAATTATAGAATATATTTGAGCAATAAACTAAATAATATGGGTGAGATAGAGCCACACTAAATTGTAAGCTTAAAATGCATATTCTTTTAACTTCTAAACGAAGCAAATGTCGAAATAAAATAATGACACACATTATAGTTTTTGGTTATGTGACATTGAAAAGTTCAAAATGTAAATCCACCAAACGTCAGTGCGATCTTTGTTATTAGTAGATATAAAAACTATTTTTCTTGTGCATTTGCTTTAATAAACTTTGTATTATGTGATGTTGTTTTCTTTGAATATAGAGAATCAGTTTTCATATCAAAACTCTTTATGATATGATTTAATTTGATTTTCATATATTTTTTTATCAAAACATAAAAAGGGTCGTTTGCTGAATAAAGGCAATCATCAAACGTAGAATATTATGGATCAAATGATTTTTTTCAGTTATAAATGGTTTAACATTTTCAAAAGTTAGTTGAAATCTATATTATGTATCTACTGAGTATTATGTCAGAAGTACATACAGTTTATAATCTTTTTTATAACTTTTTTTTTAATATTCTAACTATCAAGTTTCAAAGATCGTTAGAAATATGTCTTGGTCATCTAGCAGGTACGGCTAACACATTCAAAGCCACACGGATTCTGTCATTTAAATTGCTAGCCGAATTAATCAGTTGCTATTTTCAAGAAGGGCTATCATTCAGTTAAAATGTTTGGAGGTCATAGAAAACAAAGTCAGTCAAAAACACAAGAGGACAGACCTGCAGACTCAAACATTGAAACGTCTTTATCACTGATTAATAATACATTATACTCAAATTATAAAGCAAAGGCGCATTTTACATTTAAGGTAATTTTACTTAAGTATTTGACAAAACTATTCAAAACAATTAAAATTCTACTTTTTTAATAATGTAATAGTTTTGCAATATTTGTATTGACCAAAATATATGATTTCAAATCACGGACATACTTGATAATGTATTCTCACCTGCAGATGGTCCATTTTTTCAATTAGGCTTGCACGCTTTACTTCACCCTTATAATTTCGAAAGAATGTATCTAAATTGAGCACTCGTTTATCAACTGTCTCCGCGGCAGCGATGTCATAATAACCATCATCCCTTGTTTCTGGTATAACTTTTCCCAAAAGTCTATTATCCCTATCAAATATTTCATTTCCTACATATTTTGCAAAGTGCTTTGAAATCAGTGCACAAATAGAAGAAGAGTTACTGTTTTTGAATGTTGCAAAACATCCAAGAGTGGCATGATGGTCCTGCGTTTTCTCTTGAGCTCCCCCTTGAACTTTCCCTTGAACTTTACCTTGAGCTTTGCTTGGAGCTTCTTTGGACTTTTGAATTTTAGGACTTATCATCGAACCTATATAGCTGTATTCTTCCAAATCGCCTTGAATATAAATAAGCTCGTATTTCACAATACCATGTGTTGTGAGAAATGTGGAAATCTTCTCCTCAAGTACCTTTCCCTCTGATTCATTAGAAGTATGATTTACGTATATGTAAAATGTGCGGTATCGAAATCCACACCATGTTATGGCATTGTCTAACTTGAAAAGGTCTCTTGCTACCTAAAATCAGTTATGACATAAACATAACAATTTCAAAAAAGAAAATGATAAAATTAACTTAACGAGTCTAAATGAATCGGTTAATGTAAATGTATATATTTTGGACAAAAAACCGAATCCATCTGTGCCTTGCTTTGAGGTTTTTTGTTATACAATTAACGTTCATTTTATCACATAAAAAGGTATTTTAATTGATATCTCATTATTAGACATAACACCAAGGTAGCTGCTTGCATACAATTCAGGTTCGTAAGGTAAACAAAATCTTTCATATTTTGTTTCAGTATCTTGGAATTATTTGACATTAAAATGTAAAACAAAAATCGTACCTCTTCAGTAACAATCGTTGTCTGGTACTCTTCAAAAACAGGCTTAATTTCTTCAGGGAGATTGCTTCTTTTAGACAGCGCGATCATTTCATCTAACAGCCTTTCAATGTTGCTTTTATTTTGTTGTATGCATTGGTAGAATACGTCTAAGAAAAGATAAAATGTACTTTTTTGAAAATGCAAGTTTATAATCTAATTGCCCGTAGTGCGTAAACAAAAAAGCAGATGTACATACTAAATTTTCAAAAAATATACATGCATATATATTTTCTTTTATGATTGTTAAAAAGCTGCTTTACTTTGTTTGAGTATGAATAATTTATGATAATATCGTTTCGTTATAAATCCAATCATGGTTATTACAAGGCAATTTTTCTTACTTGCTATCATTTATTTTTGGTTATATTTGTGAAATATATTTAGTTTTTGTGTGAAATGCTGGTAAAAAAGTGACAAAAGACGAATTGCACATTTGGTTCTCGTGACCAAAACGAATATCAAACGATTTAAGAAGCATTACCTGAACCGGTTGTCTCTGAAGAAGATGGATTAGGATAGAGATCCGAAAATTCCTTGATAAGAGAAGCTGCAGAGAAGACTTCACTACTTTCTTCAGAATGAGCGATGCTTCGCAGTCTATGAAATAGTGCAACTTTGCCGATCAATGGCCTCATTATGATGACTTCCATCAAACTACTTATCGCATTTGCGTCCTCTTCCTCTTTTCTGATATGAGAGTCAGAGTATACAAAAATTTTATTGTCAGTCACCGATTCAATAAATTTAATACCTTCGGAATTCACAAAAAGACCAACAGCTTTGCTTCCAGCAACATCATGTTTTCTACTTGCAATCTGGTATATTTCTGTATTTGTATAATCAAGATCCTCATGATCTTCAATTAGTAGACTCATGTCAAAAGTATAGTCCTGGATAAAAATATCAATATCTTCCCGATGTTCCATACCTGTATCTTCCATATTAGGAAGTCCTAATTTATTTTCAATGCCTTCACAATAATTCTTTAGAGTTCCAACAAACCCCTGTAGATTGTGCATTCTTGGCAATCTTTTTAAGGGTACTTTATAATGCACCACTTTATTCTTGTCGACAGATGAATATCTATGATAATATAAAATAACACTTTTACCGTGTACAAACAGCTTGACTGAACATTAAAGCAATATTCTATCAGTATTTCTTTTACATTCAATTTATAAACATTGTTCAAATTATAATATTCTGTTTTTATTTCTTATATTAAAACAGCTCCTACAAATGTTTATAAACAAATGCAATATCAAATAGATTATATAAAAAAACTCACTCAAAAGGATTTTTGTCACTTTTGTCGATGTTCTGACAAAGTTTTCCTATTTGGAAAAAATAAAACAAAAAAATCAATTTAATTTATTTTTCTCATAAATATTAAATTCTTTAAACACCGCGTGATTTTTTATTCCCTTAATCGACTGCGTCTTTTCCGTCAACTGCGTTCTTATATAGGGCGGGACACCTAGCAATTATGATGTAAAGCGGAGAGCGACAACGATATAATTGCAATGCGTTACTTTACATAGGCGACTCTAAATTGCATGGGGCCTATTAATTGTTGTACAGAATTATGCTATTTTCATAGAGTGACAGAGTATTTATTTAATTAAAACGGATTGCCTTGTGGTGTAGAGATAGGATGTTTATCTTGTGTGCAACCAGATTCAGGTTTGAGACTCGTGTTTTTGCAGTACACACTGCAATATTATAGGAGAACTAATGGAAATAATAAAAATATGTAATTCTTCTTCTTATATGTGTCTATATTAGGTTTAACAATCCTTTTTAACAGTGATTCAGTAAAATATGCCGGCTGGAATTTGACCAATTGATTGTTATTGAATTCTGTACCAATAATCAGCGAATATCTGCCGATTTTTTCACATCATGCAGTACCATATACCATATGTGCTATATATATGTTAAGTTACGATATTGCAACAAACTGCTAACTGCAAAACAAACCAAAAGGCGTAAAAATGGAATATACGAATATGCAAAGATACGACACATAAGATATCAAAACACGACACGTTTTATTGATATACATATACAAAAATTTCCGCATTTTCGTGGTAAAAAAAAAAACAACAGCAAAACAAAACGATTATTCGACATAGCATAAATACATGCAGATTAATGCACAGAACAATTTAGCTCGGCTACATTGAAGTTTAATTCTTTGTATAATTTTCAAACTAAATGTCAATGTCTACTTAAAAGCATGTAAAAAGAATAAATGACATTGAGATATGTAATTGATTAATGTTTATATACTAGTTTCCATACATCCATTATGTAATTCAGTATGACAAGTAAATAAACTTGTAAGTGTAACGCGCAATGCTGATACGGTTTGTAAGATATGCATGAAACGTTCATAATATTATCTTTTCTCCTTTATCGGTTCGAAGAATATGGGTTTACTATAAATAGAAGCAGGGATGAGATTTAATTTCCAATAGAAACTGATTTTTACAATATTTCTGACAGAGGACAGTTAATACAAATAAACACTTAAAACAATCTATTTTTCAACAAATGAATACACAGTTATGAGAAATTGTATCCTCAGTACAATGTTACTTCTATTGGACCAAACTCTTGAAATAGAAGAACCTATAGAAGAAAACAATTAACATATTAGTTTGAGGTCACCTTAGACCCATGGCAAATACATAAGCTTAGTGTTATGTATATATCCACTACTACAAACAAAGGGAGTATTTACATTAAATTTAATTTATCTATTTATCTATCTGGCTTCTCTCTGGCCTGGGATGTCATAATTCTTCATGCAAGAAATGTTGATGTTAAAACTCTTTTAAAAATATATGTGTAGATCCTACATGAGATTTGGTTTTCCGACTGCCATAAACAACATTTAAAATTGATAAATTTTATATGTCTTTTATAACAACATTTAAAATTGATAATTTTAATAATAATGCTGAAAACAAAGTTTTATAAAACATTCACAATTATACACCATTTTCTTACCGTTTTGGGGTTTTCCAATGTCTAGTCTATCATTTTCTGGTCCTTGGTCAACTGCTTGAACTTCTTCACTTACGCCATGTATCACGCACCTTTTTTCTTTTACTTTCTGTCGGTCTATTGTTTGATTAGAATTTTTAACTTAAATTAAATCAAACATTATCTTGATAGAACTATGACACATATAACAATGTTTAGTAGATGCTACCATGTAAAATCAAAATCCATAAATCGTGAACACACACATAATAGAATGACATTAATACACACATCGATGTAAATTTAAGTTCTACGCACGAATATATCTTGAATTAAAATAGTTATGTGTAAAGTTTAAAAATGACGGACAAATTTGAAGAACTAAAATCCCTTAACACACTGGTTGAACTTTACCTTATACCAATAAAGTATTTATTCAATTAAGCGATTTTCAAATATGTTGCAATGACATTCTCAAATAAATCGGGAAAAAGCTTTTAACATGCAAGTTTAGCCTTTCATTTGTCTTCCGTTCACAGCATCGTATCATTACATTGCATTAACTACGGGTTCAGTAAGCACCTTTTCAATACTATATAGAAAACTGTTAAAGAGTCACCGGTGTGCAGTCTAAAAGGCACAACGAAGGTGTGACACATGTTTGGATAGCTAAAATTGGTGTATTGGCGTGGTATCTCCAATCTTTCTACTGTTCCCCATGGGCGCTTCTTGACGGAGCTCCCCACAAACGACAAAAATAGCTTGCAATTACCACTACCGTCCATTAACAGGCTCAATAAAACCAAGCATGTAACATATTCAATTTTGTCGTTTAGACGTCATGAGGGGTTCTCCGTTTTTTGTACTTTATCATTATTTTATGGTCATTTGATGGAGCCATTACTTTTCCGTGTCCAAATTATGACAAGTTTTTGCCCCGTACATTGAATCAAGGATCTAATATTTCCGATCCTTGAAGATTGTTCGGCATGACATTATTGTTGTACTTGTGGTATAAAAGTTCTTTCTATTCTACTTTTTTCTTGTTGGATGGTTCCAGTATTCCACACATGAATACTGTATAATCACCCTAAGGATTTGTTGCCTGGTTTTTTAGATTTGTTTTTTGACGGCCTATCTGTGATATGCAGGCTTCATAACCTCCGATCCACTTTCGAAATTCCATTTTATTTAGTTCTGCCCAATGTTTCTCGTTTAGGGCAATTCATTTTTTTACTTGGAACCCATATGCCGTTTTTCATGGAATGGCACTAACCGTTACATTGAAGGTTCCACGTGACGCCATATGAGCACAGATGTTTTGAATTTTAAAATTTTCCCAGTCCATGTTTAATATTTAAAACATGTACTGCTTAAGCCGATGCTAAGGGGCGTGAACGAAAACTTTTATATTCCAATACCATCTATGAACAGGCTCAATAAAATCGAGCCTGCAACATTTTCTGTTTGTGAGTTTTGTTCGTTCTTTGGGGAATTTTTATTTCTCTTTATTTTGCACCTACCTCATCTTTTTGTATGACTCTATTGTTATAACTATGCAAAAATGAGGACATACCTACAACTTTACACCATTTCATCTTTTCCCTTATATTACAGACTGTCCGAACTTTACAATGAGTATTGATTTACATTACCTTTCTCCAACAACTGTTGTCCTATGTCCGATGGTGATTGTTTAGATGTTCTAGGTGGTAGTGGAGGTGCATTTAGCGGAAATACATGTGCCATAGACTGGGATTTCTCTGGTCTATGAGGTGTTGTAGCTGCTACATGATGTGCCCTATGTGATGATGTAGATGCCTTTGGCTGAGGTGCAGATGCTCTAGTTTGCGATGTTGGTGTCCCACACCGTGGTTGCTTATTCGGTCGCGGCAGGTCATTGATGTCTTCTAGTTTGTCAGATGCTTTCCTCTTACGGATAGGGTGTACCATTTTTTGTCTTAAATAGGTAAACGTAAAAAATCGAATATGTTTTTACTACTTAAGATTTGCGTTCAGTGAACGCCGCCTTTCATTGTTCATCTTGCTTATCATTTTTTTTTTTGCATTATAGGGTAATATTTTGATTAATGCGATACAGATTGTTGGAAAACTACGTGTTTTCCTATCAACTTACCCTATTGACTTTGTTTTTGTTTCCAAATGACTGCTTAACTAGATTACTAACGACCGAATGCACTATTAAGAAGGAGAAAGCCTGCTGTCAGGATAGCATTAGCGTTTTGATTATGATAAAATTTCCTACTCATACATGCCTTAACCCAATTAATTTATCAAATGATGAGTATCCTAAATTTCTGGAGTATTACCCCTTTATATCAGTAGCATCTCATACAGCCAATCAACAGGTCATCTTTAAATAGAATTATAATTAAACCATTAAAATTAAAACAATCAGTATTACTCATGTGGCACTTTCATCCTTGACATGATGTGCACGTTGATACCTTTGATCCGTTGCTCCGTGCGTATATTAAACATTATTTTACCCAAGTATCATGTCTCCAATCTCAAACAGTAAAATTTACCTACTCCTGTTGATAACAATATTGATTACTGTCCGCAGTGTATTGCATAAAATGTGATGTCTATGTTTTAAAATAACCTTTCAAACTATAAATAAATTGCTTGCACCGCTTTCATTTGAAGAAATAAGTATATGTCTTTGATACTCTATCAGAAAATTGGCTGATACTCCGGTTGAACATTATTTAACACGTGTTTCAACTTAAGAGATTGTCTAAAGTTAATTAAGAACAAGCTGATGCATTATTCATTCATAACAAATTGTAAATAGCAACGAAAGAAAACGAATATACTTTATAGTAAAAGGCGATCTTGGATTTTGGTTGCAGATTTTATCATATGTATGTTGCATTCCCGTTCATGCATTGTAACAAAGGGTTTTGGATTTCAAGTGACATTGCTATGAGAAAATAAAACTTATACGTTCCGAATCGACTTCAATTTTAATAAGACATCTTCATTTCCACATTGTTGGATTTGCTTTGCTATTGAATGAAAACATTATTTCGGTCATCAAAACCACATTCTTTCATGGTATATTAATATCCTAATAAAATTGATGATTAATATATTTGATATTGCACTCCTTTTCATTATAATCAAACGTTTTAAATTCATACAATTCATATACAATTTATGTGACACCAAAATCGTTGGCAAAAAGTGCTCGACATTACCTTTAACCAGAAGTTTGTGTATGTCTTCCGACAAATCGTGTTTTATCTTAGTAACAATACTCCAATTGAAACAGTGAAAATAAACGTATTTCCTTTGATTTTTTGTATCAATACTGTTTACTAAGCACAATGTATCGTATTAAATCTGATGTCTATATTTTAAAATGACATTTGTAACTGTATAAATGAAAAGCATTTTGAAAATGAAACAAGTGCCTTATATTGAAGACAGTAGTAGAAAGACTTGCTAGGCACTTGTTGTATATTATCCATTTCAGATATGCATTGCTTGTAAGTTAATATGTCTGAATAATAATTGAGTGATTTGCCGGCACTGCTTGTAATTAAAGAAAAATACCTCTATGACACTCCATCAGAAAATTACCTGACACTCCAGTTGAACATTATACGTGTCTGGTAACTTTGTTCAACTTAAGATATTGTCTAAAGTTGATTGAGCAAGTTGTTGCATTTTTCATTCAATAAATTGAAAATAACAACGAAAGAAAATGAATACACTTTATATTTAAAGACGATCTTGGTTGTGGTTGCGAATTTTACCATATACATGCTGAATTCCCATGTTTGCATTGTAGCAAAGGGTTTTGAATTTCAAATGACATTGCTATAAATAATTAAGAAAAAATCACGTTTTCAATCGGTAATTTGTAGTAATCAAATATACATGTACATTTTATTATGGTTAATGACTGAACTGTGTCGGTGGCTGCATTCTGTGAGTGTCGCTTTACCCTGTTGATGTCTATTCCCGTTTTCTTATTTGACATTATTTGTAATGCGGACTATGTAATCTATATAACATTATTAGCAGGTGCTCGTTTCTGTATAATTGTATCGTAAGTTGATAACCCAATCATAAATAGCCGTAAGAGGGCGTTGTCGTGCAAAGCATATATAAGCAGAGGAATTCAAGGTGAGTTTGAAGGTCGAGTGGTTAAGGTCGCTGACTTGAGATCACAGGTCCCTCACCGCTGTAGGTTCGATCCTCACTCGGGTCGAAATCTTTCATGTGAGGAAGCCATCCAGCTGGCTTACGGAAGGTCGGTGGTTCTACCCAGGTGCCCGCTCGTGCCTGAAATAATGCCCGGAGGGGCACCTGGGGTCTTCCTCCACCAATAAAGCTGGAAAAAAATCGACGAAAAAATCTCGGCGGGACGCTCTAGGATGGCCCGACTTGAGTGTACGGTCGCCCATATGGGCTTTCCGGCGGCGACCTTAAATAAACGCAATTAAAAAAAAAATTGAGTTTAGTTTGTGTTGGTGGAAGTCAGATTGTCAACATCTTATCTTGGAGCTTTGAAGTTATACCTGCTATATATACTGCTTGTAATCCGTGTTCTCTAGGGGGCAACGCTACCGGAGAGGATTGCAGGTTTTTATATAGTAGAAAGTTAACCGGGCTGCAGGATATTTGTTGGATAATTTTTTAGAGATAAATAAAACAGAAACATAGGAAATACGAGCATAGTATAATAGGTAGGCATCGAGACGGGTTATATGTAAGAAAGGCATCGAGACTAGGCAAAGAGACTAGGAAAGAACAAAATATATCAATATTGTGTATTGTTTATCTAATATTTGTTTAATTAAAGTTGATTAATTTATATTCCAATTATTTTGAAATCATTGGTTTTCAATCATTTAGGTAAGGAAACCTAGAGGAAAATTATTAATGTAATATATTGAATACAAATACATACATATAAGCTTGGTACACGTTACACTAGATTGGCGTATGAAGAAGGTGCACAATCTAGGAATTTCTATAAATAAAAAGCTATGAAGGTTGAAATAGACCTAATCAAGTGTGAAGACCGAAGAAAACAAATAATATAACTTGATATACATATGTATTTTCAACGACTACAGCGTAATAAAACGTAATCGCGTCGGATTCACCTATGGCTGCCGTAGATTCCATGTTAAGGTTCCAAATTGTGATTGTGGTCCTAACATTGAATC